TGTGCCAGTATTAAATTGTTTGTGTGTGTGTCTCTATATATTTAGACCAGGGGTTGGCAACGTTTGGCACCCTGGCGGGCCGGGCCAGTTTATTTACCTGCTGATGTGGCATGTTCAGCCGATTGCGGCCCCCACTGGCCACGGTTCGCCGTCCCAGGCCAATGGGAAGCGGCGCGGGCGAGGGATGTGCTGGCTGCGGCTTCCCACCGCCCCCATTGGCCCGGGACAGCGAACTGCGGCCAATGGTGGCCACGATCGGCCGAACCTGTCGCGTCAGCAGGTAAATAAACTGGCCCGGCCCGCTAGGGTGCTTACCCTGGCGAGCCACATGCCAAACGTTGCCAACCCCTGATATAGACACAGACAGACAGACACACACACACACACACTATAATATAGTCTTTTGTCTGGTGAAAAAAAATTCCCTGGAACCTAACCCCTTCGTTTACATTAATTCTTATAGGGAAATTGGATTAGCTTAACATCGTTTCACTTAAAGTCGCATTTTTCAGGAACATAACTACAAAGTTAAGTGAGGAGTTACTGTATCTCAATTCTCATTAAAAAGTTATGTCGTCTAAAGTAGTTGAGTTTCCCCTAAAGCATTCTTCCAAAACGTGGAATAACTAACAAATTAGAGGAAAAAATTGTTTTGGCACTAGCTTACCCCCCCCCCCAAAAATAAAGCTTTTAAAGTGATAATTGGAAAGAAAATATTACAATACACAAGAAACCCATGTTGGTCAATCAGCTCTGACACACCTGAAATTGTATTTCCAGTAAATAAATATGTTATCACCCTTTCCCAATGGGCTTTCTTTTCCTATTAAGATACTCAGTAATTAGAAATAAAGTCTTAAACGTAAGCTATATATTCAATGCATTTGATATTTCTCCAGCACAAATGAAAACACACTCCAGTTGAAGGTACTAAGTGTCAAGATTCAAAACATACAAATAAATTTAAAAATTGAACTTGCATTTATAAATGACTGATCTAAAAGCCTGCTGGAACCTGTTCAGTTTTATGTAATACAGAAATCCTGAGTATGTATCTACATGATCCAACTGGATGATTCTTAACTGTGTCTTAATGAAAATATGACACTGTATGTCTTAAATGTTATTAAGAAAACTTGTTATTTTCAAGGCAATACTCAAATATTGAGGAAGTTAGGAAAGAGATCTATTTTAAGGCTGTAACAACCTGGCAGGATTAAAAGCACTGCAAGAATTGTATTTAAAAAAAAAAGTCCCAGGGGTCCATAGACTAATTGAAACATTTGTATTTTCTGATTGTACAATGACTTCCTCTGATTTCTATCAAGAGCAACTGAAATGTCTGACTGATGTTACACTGAAAATAAAACTGATCAGCTTTGTGAGAGAGTGAAGGAGATCAGCACTCAACAGGTCTCTTCTCCCAGAAACTGCTCTCTCCTGGCTCTCAGCTGGGTGACAAGGAGCCACATGAAGAACTTTTGAGAGCCGCCTGGTCCCAGGGCTGCTTGTACTGCTGCTCGGGCGCTAATGGGCACACAGGCTCTCAGGCACCCAGCTGCAGGGGCCATTTGGGAACCTCATTAGACTCGCTCTGTGCAGGGGTGCAGAGCAATGCAGACAGCTCTCCGGCTCTGGGACATGGAGCAGCAGCGGCAGCCACCCACGCAGCCGGGGAATTTACATTTCCCGGGGCCCAGGGGGAAGCTGGTGATCCAACTCCCGGAGGACAGCCCTGTCAGCCAACAGCAACTTCTTACTCAGACCCCAGCTAAGGGCTGCGGGTTCCTCTGAGCGCAGAGCAACAGTTCGTTTTCCTGTTTGCACTTCACTGTGGTAGGAAACGGAGGGGGAGAAGCCCCCTGCCCGCCCTCCCTAAATGGTGCCCCAGCTGTTCCAATCTATGGGGAGGTGAAAAACTACTACATTGGCAACAGACCAGCAGGGAGTGGGGGGAGGAATGGGGACGTTCAGGTAGGGAAAGCCAGTTCCCTAAGGGGATCACTTCAAACCTACTTGTTACCATAGGTGCTGCCGCACGCTCTGGCTTGAAGTGGTTTCCATCTTATACAGGGATTATAGTTTGTTCAATGGCTCTCAGCACCCCCCATGTAAAAACTGTTCCAGCACCTCTGTTTGTTACCATTTGGATATTAATGACATGAAGCCATATTTACACAGGGACAGAAAAGTTAAGGCACGTCACCTTCAGATGTGAAATCAAAGCACATAAGTTAGAATTGATTTACATCCTCGTGCCAGAGGGTTTTGTGTGTCTCATCTTGAAGTTAAATGGCCTAGGAGGAGAATTTAAGTTATGGCAAACTAAGGCCACTTAACACTTAACTCCTGCTTTCTCTCAGGAGTAAATGTGCTTTAACTTAAGGCTTGTCCACACAGTGCTGCAGTGCATAAATGATAGAGCACAGTGACATGTTACACTCTAACTGCTGGCACTAACTAAATGTGCTGTATAGTCCCATTTCGAAAAGGACTATGTTAATGCACAGTGGATGCCTTTTAGTTCACGCCAGCCAGGTCTACATGGGGCAGTCAGAACTCTACAGGTCAGCACGGGCTACAATTCATGGCCCCTGGTGCCAGGTAGAGAAGTCCCACTCACACCGACTTCACCCTTCAGTTGATTGGCCTTAACTTTCCAAGTGGCCAAGCCCTATGCAAGGCAGCCTCAGAAAAGCAGCTAAACCTTCCCATTCCAACAGACATACCTGAAGCCTTCCCACAGCTCCAACCCCCTAATCTCAGAAATGCATCAGGCTTGGCTTGGGACCTGTACAAACACCTTACAACAGGGGTGGGGAAACTTTTTGGCCTGAGGGCCACATTGGGGTTCCGAAACTGTATGGAGGGCTGTGCCTCCCCAAACAGCCTGGCCCCCACCCTCTATCCACCCCTCCCACTTCCTGCATCTTGACTGCTCCCCTCAGAACCCCCAACCCATCCAACCCCTCCTGCCCCTTGTCCCCTGACTGTCCCCTCCCAAGACCCCCCCCACCCCAACTGCTCCCTGGGACCCCACCCCCTATCCAACCCCTCCTACTCCCTGTCCCCTGACTGCCCTGCCCCCTATCCACAACCCCACCCCCTAACAGGCCCCCCGGGACTTCCACGCCTTCCAATCGACCCCTGCTCCCTGTCCCCTGACTGCTCCCCGGGACCCCCTGCACTTTATCCAAGCCTCCCGCTTCCCACCCCGTTACCATGCCACTCAGAGCACCAGGACTGGTAGCCACGCCACCCGGCCGGAGCCAGCCCTCCCGCCGTGCAGTCTAGAGCACCGGGGCAGGCCGGTGGCTCTTGCAGCCGCGCTGCCCAGGAGGCCCTTGCAGCCCCATCGCCCAGAGCGCTGGCAGCACAGCGAGCTGAGGCTGCAGGGGAGGGGGGACAGTAGGGGATGGGCTGGGGGCTAGCCTCCCTGGCCGGGAGCTCAAGGGCCGGGCAGGACAGTCCTGTGGGCCGGATGTGGCCTGTGGGCCGCAGTTTGCCCACCTCTGTCCTATATGTATATAACACCTTCGCCTCAGGTACCAAGAACATAAGCTGATATGCAAACTTTGAGCAGAGATCACTTATCTACCATGAAAATCCAGCCACTGCTGGGGTGGAACCTGGCAGCTCTTGAGTTTATCATCATTATGCAGGTCCAGAGAACACAATCGTTTACAATAGGAAGACAGAGATAACAGGAGATAAAACCACTACAGCAGAGAACAGCATGGCTATGTTCACATTAGCAGTAACACTGCCTGGTACCGTAGCCTACTGGGTATGTAAGGCACTGAGTCACCTCGCTCAGCACCCAGGGACCCTAGCGGCTCTGGTCAGCACCGCTGACCGGGACGTTAAAAGTCCCATCGGTGGTACTGCCCAACTAAAGCAGGCTAGTGCCTACCTCTCGTGACACCACGCTGCGCCCAGGAAGCGTCCAGCAGCGGGTCCGGCTTCTAGGCAGGGGGGCGATGGGACTCCGCGCGTTGCCATTGCCCCAAGCACCAGCTCCGCACTGGTTCCTGGCCAATGGGAGCTGCGGGCAAGAGCCATGTGGAGATGCTTGCACGCCTCTGCCTAGGAGCCGGACTTGCTGCTGGCTGCTTCCGGGGCGCAGCGCCTTCCGCGGTGCCAGGACAGGCAGGAAGCCTGCCTCTGCACCCCAGCTGCGCCGCTGACCGGGAGCCTCCGGAGGTAAATCCGTGCCCCAACCCTGCGCCCCTCCAAATCCAGAACCCCTTCCTGCACCCCAAACTCCTCATCCCCAGCCCCACCCCAGAGCCTGCACCCCCAGCCCAGAGCCCTGACCCCCTCCCACACTCCAACCCCCTGCCCCAGCCCTGAGCCCCTCCCACACCCCAAACCCCTCATCCCCAACTCCGTTTGGTTGCAGGCATCAACAATTTTCTTGAAGTGGGTCCCCCCAAAAAACAGTTTGAAAACCACCAAGCTAGTGTAGATGAGCCTCCAGTGTCTACCCCTGCCCATACCAGCTCTTGCTCCAGTCCTCTCTGAGACATTGCCTTAGGGGCAAAACTTACTGCCAGCTGGGGCAAATACTGTCCCCACCAACATCCGGGCAGGCAAGGGGCATTCTCCCCTTCTGTCCAGGGCTGTCCACACTAGGGGATAAGGAAAGATCTCCCTCGCCTCTCTCCAGCTGCGGCCCAGATGTGCTTCTTACCCTTGCACATCTGGAGAGACTCTCAGGGCTTGTCTACACTAGGTGGAGGTGCAGCCAGGGCAGGAATTACCGCAGTGGTTCCTGTCCCACCTGCAGCGCTTGCACCCCCTTAGCTGGGGGGGGGGGCACTGACAGCTGGGTACCCCCGCCCCAGATCTAGTGGCGCGCTTCCCGCCGCCCGCTCTTTGCAGCGGAGCTGCCCCCTAGGCGCCCTGCGGCCGCACGTGTCTCTCCGCGCGCCCGCCAGGCGGGAAGCCTCCGGCTGTGTGGCCCGGGGGGGGGGGGGGCGCCGGAGCGGGACACTCACCCCACGCGGCAGCTGCTCTCCTGGACAGGGTCACAAAGGGCTGCGCGCCTCATCCGATCCGAATCTACCGCGGAACCGTTGCTGGCAGAGCCGCGCAAGCGCAGTAACACCGGCCGAAGCGGCGGCCCGGCCCCTTCCCACCCCCAGCTCAGCTACCAGCTGTGGCGGCTCCACGTGGGACGGAAGGGAGGGGGGCGGGCGGTCTGTAGTACTCGCAGCTGGGGGCACAGCACGGAGAGTGGGGGGAGAGTTTGGGGTACAGCGGACTAGGGTGGGAACATAGCACGGAGAGTGGGGGGAGAGTTTGGGGTACGGAGGAGGAGGGTGGGGGAGAGTTTGGGGGTACAGGAGGGAGGGAGGGGGCACAGCACAGAGTGGGGAGAGTTTGGGGTACAGAGGAGAAAGGTGGGGAGAAATTGGGGTACAGAGGAGGAGGGTGGGGGCACAGCACAGAGTGGGGAGAGTTTGGGGTACAGGGGAATAGGGTGGGAACACAGCACGGAGAGTGGGGGGAGAGTTTGGGGTACAAAGGAGGGTGGGAGCAGGGCTGCCCAGAGGGGGGAGCAAGTGGGGCAATTTGCCCCAGGCCCCGCAGGGGCCCCCCACGAGAATATAGTATTCTATAGTATTGCAACTTTTTTTTAGGGAAGGGGCCCCTCAAATTGCTTTGCCCCAGGCCCCCTGAATCCTCTGGGCAGCCCTGGGTGGGGGAGAATTTGGGGTACAGAGGAGGAGGGTGGGGGTACAGCACAGAAAGTGCTGGGAGAGTTTGAGGTACAGAGGAGGAGGAACATGGCACAGGCTCAGAATGTTTCACCTCTGGTGCTCGGAGCTGTGCTTGCTTAGGGTGACCAGACGTCCCGATAAAATCGGGACCGTCCCGATATTTAGGTATTTGTCCCGCGTCCTGATTGATCTTCGGTCGGGACGCTGCACTCCGCTTTCCCCCCCCCCCCACTCCTAAAAACCAGAGGCTGAAGGTATGCATACCTAAGGAAGGGTGCATAATCTCCTCTGACTGCCCGCAGCCCTGGGCTGTTCTCAGCTCCCGCCCCCGACTGCCAGCAGCACTGGGTCACAGTAGGGAATTGGGAGAGGGAGCTGTTTGTGTCCTTACACCGGCAGCTACTCGGTTTTTTGGTTTGTTTTGCTCCGCCAGTGACCCCCCCCTCCCTCCCCCTTGTGTCCCGATATTTTCTTCCTGTCATCTGGTCACCCTAAGCAAGCACAGCTCCGAGCACCAGAGGTGAAACATTCTGAGCCTGTGCCATGTTCCTCCTCCTCTGTACCTCAAACTCTCCCAGCACTTTCTGTGCTGTACCCCCACCCTCC